ATAAACTTGTTTCATAATTCAAACTTCACCAAATTTACAATAAAATAATATGAGATATAAGTGAAATATAAGAAGTTCTAGAACGTATAAAAATAAATTTTAAACTTATTTCACCACTCAAAATTCACCAAATTTATAATAATTAACATCACAAGATTACAATGAGAGAAGCATTATTTTGAATCTATCATAGAACTTGTCTAAAGATGATAAATGGTCAAACACCATCACTACAGTTTTATGTTTGTAGAAAAAACAATTATGCTATACTATTATATGTTTTTACCTGTAAATTCAACACAATACATTTATTGAAAAATCTATAGAAGCATATTCTGATCAAAACTTTTCTTCACAAAGTTAAAAGAATATCTAATACAAATTATACTAAAAGAATTTACCACCAATGCAAGAATTTACCACAATTCACTAAAACACCTTCATTGACTTATCAATCACCATCACCTCAGAATTGTAAAGAAACAATAAATTGACAGTTCAAAAAATTTCAATAATATAACAAACTTAGAGTATAATAAAAAAATAATATGCTTTCACCGTCAATTGACCAATGATACATATATGTCTTTGCGACTGTGCCTAACATGTTTTGGGCTATCCACTACCAAAACACAACCTAAAGAAAATGAAACACATGATAAGATATGATCCAATTCAACCCATCAATGGAAAACAAAAACATCCAAATCCATGTCATTTAAAATCTACACCTGTTGGGTTATTTAAAATCAAAATATACATCTAAGTGCAGCACAATTTGCTTTCTGTCAGCAGAATGAGTTATTTGCTTGTCATCAGTAGCGGAGTCAGGAAAATTATGAAGCCTGGGCAAGTTTTCATTGGCTTCATAATTTTCTACCAAGACAGTACAATGTTAATCCCAAAGGAATTATTTCCTTGAATTGCAATTACCTCTTCAATTTGTAAGATTTTGAATTTTATAATATATACATGTTAAAATTTCGGATTCTATAATATATACATGTTACAGTATTTCAGGTGTGCTCACAAAATGAACAAACCTATAAAAGCCGAGAAAATTAGTTCAACACACTCATTTGTGTGAAATTAAGTACGGCCTAAAAACACCGCTATCAATTCAAATTTCAAATAATATTGTCAAATACAGATCGGTGAAGTGGTGGTTTGTTAAAATTCCAGTATGCTACAATGTTGTAGAGCCACTATTTGAGAACACATTATACTAAGTAGCATAACAAAAAACAATAGGGATGTGATCAAATTCCGCTACACTATAGTACAATAGCTATAACTTCTATTAGGCCTATAGTTTTAAGTTTTAATAGTTAGTTTCTGGCAGAATATTATACCTTTATTGGGGTTTACATAACTTTTTTTTAGTACAAATATCACATCAGATTACTATATTTGTTTAAATATTATCATAGTTATAGTTATGCACTTATGCTTGATTTCAATCTTTAAATACATTATCAGACTATTTTGAACTGTGAAAAAGTCAGTTGAACTCTAACACAGTATATACATACAACAAAAAATATAGCAATTTTAATAAGTAATAACTAATAAAATTTTATAATAAAGTAAGTAAATCATTATTACTAATAATTGAGTAAAAGACCTTGCCTACAGTTTCGCTTTAGGTCTCAACATACGTTGAGCCGACCCTGATCAACAACAGAGTTGCTAAGGATGATTGAACTACATCCTGGTATCTTTCGAGACCATGTATCAATCATGTTCACCCTTATCATTTCAGCCTTTTCCCATTTTTGTAAACCTGCATAAATATTCGACAGAAGCACATCTTGAGAATCAGCACATGTAGCTGAGTCTGTACCAATCATCTTAATAGTTTGTTCTGCCATTTTCATATCTGAATGAATCCAACAAGCACCAATCATTGCCCCCAAAATATTTTTATTAGGTTTCAAAGGCATTCTTTTTATTAGCTCATATGCCTCCTTTAACCGCCCTGCTCTTCCCAAGAGGTCTACCATGCACCCATAGTGCCAGATGTTTATTTCGATTCCACATGCCTCCATTTTAGATATTACTTCCAATGCTTCACTAACCAAACCTCCATGAGCACAAGCCGAGAGTACACTGGTAAATGTGACAACATCAGGCCTTATATTTGACTCCTCCATCTTGCGCAAATACTCAATAACCTCCTTGCATTTTCCATTGACAACAAAACCCGAAATCATAGCATTCCAGCAGACAACATTCCTATCATTGTAACTATCAAATACCACCTTTGCATGAACCAAGTCCCCGCATTTCGCATACATGTCAATCAATCCACTCAAAACAAACTGGTTCACACCTATTCCTTTGCATTCTATCATGTGATGAATTTGTTTGCCAGCATCCAAGTCCCCAAGCTGAGCACAAGCAGATAAAACACTAACAACAGTGAACTCATCTGCCTCAAACCCTTCAACTCTCATTTCGCCAAAAGCCTCCAACGCTTTCTCACCAAATCCATTCTGCACATATCCAACAATCATGGAATTCCAAATCTCCAAATTCCGAACCGGAAGGGGAATCCTTCGAAAAACATCCTCAGCCTCCACATTACTACCTTTCCTCCAATACCCACAAACCATAGATGACCAAGCAAAAAAATTCCTTTCAGGCATCAACTCAAACACCTCTCTTGCATCCTCCATCTCTCCTTTCTTAGCATACCCATCAACCATTACACTCCACATCACCACATCCTTAAACTCATTCGGAACCCTATCAAACAATCTCCTAGCCCTTACAGTATCACCATTCTTCGCAAACCCACCGACCATCTGCCTCCAACTCACCCTCGATTTTCCCGGCATTGCCGCAAACGCAAGTGCAGCAGATTCAATGTCGCCATTTCTGAAGTACCCACCGATCATTGCATTCCAAGTCACAACATTTCTTTCAGGCATAACATCGAACAGCTTGCGTGCATCCAAAACAACACCACATTTGGAATAAGCAGTAACAATTGCGGTTCCGATGAACACGTTGGTGTCTGAACCGGATTTTATGGTGTCTGCGTGTAAGGATTTAACGTAATGAAGGAATGGGAGAGAATCGCATGGTTTGAGTAACTGAGGGATCACGGTGGGGTCGTGTGTTCCTTCATAACGAGTTTGCTTGTAGAGAACAAGAGCTCTTAATGGGTTGAAAGTTTTTGTGATTCCACGAATTTTGTGAATTGCTGCATTGTTCATTTACCTTTTCTTTTTCTTGATTGTCTTCTTTTTTTTAAGGAACATTGTAGCATCACAGCAACGATTCGATGAAACTCAAACCGCGAATCCGCAACCCAGCCAACAACAACACCGTACCTCACCGGGGCGGCCGAGCCTGGGCAGCTGCCCTAGCTGGCCGAACGTTGGCTCTGCCAGTGCTTGTCATGAGATTTATTAGGTTCCTGTAACAAATTTCAAACCAACTGTCATGCAAGTTTTCATATACAAAATTCTCCACAACTTCAAAAATTATTGTAGACATTTGCTGCGCATTAAATTTCAAAAGTTAGTAAAACATACGAGTAAGACCATCCACTAACCCGAAAATGTACAAACTATGATGACTTTTGATAAAATGTGAATATAAAATGTTATCAACTTACCGTACACGGAGCCTAATGTTTGCATCGATGAGAAAGTCCAATATTTCAGCTGAATTTTTTTAGAACAAGGAGATCACGTGCATTTTCATCGCCAATACAACTTCATCCCTCCATTCTCAAACGTCTATGACAACTGCAACAACATTCACACAAACATTAATAGCCAAAATTGAAAGGAGCACCTTTGTGACTAACAAATATTTCAAGATCAATTGTAAACAAAAAACAAACACTTGGTAGGCTATATTCACCCTTTTATATCCAGACCTTAATGAGATAGAAACTTAGACATTAACCTCACATCTTAAAATAAGATAGAAACTCACAAATTCATTTATAGGACCAAATATTTCGTCAACTTTCCCAATCTGAGTCATGTTTGGGAGAAAGACATCTGCTTCTTGTTCAAAATCATTTGTCTTCTTCTCAATCTCCAATCGTCGAAAAATGAAACATTTCAACAGTGAAGCAAAATACCCTAAATTTTAAAATACAAGAGTTAGATTAGTGGAAGGAACAGTCATATAGGTTTGATATGAAAAATAAAAAAATTAGGAAAGAAATTATAAAAGCATGATGAAAAAAAGCAAAAAAAAATAATCAAAAATAGGGTTTAATTTAGAAGTATCAAACTCATGTACCTTTGATTCAGAAGTTCTTTGCAAATATTTCAAATCAGAAAAATTGGACGATGATGGGACGAAATCGATTAGTGAAAAATAAAAGAGGAATAGGAAACAAAGAAGAAGGTGATTATATAACAAGTATGGAAATTGAACCGGCTATGTAATTTGAATCAGGTTAGCGTCCCAAAGATTAGCATAGAAAAAAATTAAATTGAAAACTAAAAACACGCTTTATCTATTATATTGATTTGTGTAGTCACGTTTCTTCATCTATCTTAATTAGGGTATAAAATAGGTTAAATAATGATTATAGATATAAAATTACTCTTAAAGACACTAATTAAACTTGTTTAACCGCCTGAGTTAGGATATTAAAGTAATACTAGTGTATTACTTTATTATATTAAAAATAAATTTCAATTTTGAAAAACACCTTTAAACACTTTACACACTTACATTTCATTTATTTTTGAACAACGTTCCTATTTTATAACATAATTTATTTCAAAATAATTTCCAAAACTTTCTAAAAATATATTTCTGATTTATATCCAACTTCTTTTATATATTATAAGTTGCGTATTAAAAATAATTTTTCAATTTTAAAAAACATTTTTAAAATTTGGCGTGAAAAAAGAAATCTCTTTTTTTATCGGCTTACATAAGTAGATACACACGTGTCATTGTACCCGTCCACCAGTTTTCAATCTTTTATTCTTATTTTGACAAACAACAATTTTGAATCCAGTAAAAAAAATCTTGATTTTCCATTTTTACATTTGCTCCACTTTTATTTATCTCTTGGACAAAACCGCAGAACGTGAAGAAATTATACAAAGTAGAGGGATGAAGAGTGCGATTTGTGGGAGCATGGGCCTCTCTCTCAACCACCTTTTCATATCAGGTTTCTCTCTCACTTTCTCTCTGAGATTTGGATTTCTCTGAACTTCCTAAATTCTTCAACCTCTGATGTCAATGAATTTCATAGCTTAGGGTTTCTGATATTCAGGGAAACAAGAGTTTGGTTATCTTATTCAGCAATGAAAAATAATTTTCACCTATTTATTGAATTAGTGGACTAATAGTATTTGTTGAATTAGTCGACTAATAGGAGTATTATAGCAATCACAAATACTTCACAAGCTGCAATTCATTGATATTTGAGACAGAAAATTGGATTTTAGGGTCGAATCCGATAAAATCCAAGTCTCCATAGTAGGGATTCTAATGATCACTGGCGGAGCCAGCGTCCGGCCAGCTAGGGCAGCTGCCCAGGCTCGGCCGCCCCGGTGAGGTACGGTGTTGTTGTTGGCTGGGTTGCGGATTCGCGGTTTGAGTTTCATCGAATCGTTGCTGTGATGCTACAATGTTCCTTAAAAAAAAAAGAAGACAATAAAGAAAAAGAAAAGGTAAATGAACAATGCAGCAATTCACAAAATTCGTGGAATCACAAAAACTTTCAACCCATTAAGAGCTCTTGTTCTCTACAAGCAAACTCGTTATGAAGGAACACACGACCCCACCGTGATCCCTCAGTTACTCAAACCATGCGATTCTCTCCCCTTCCTTCATTACGTTAAATCCTTACACGCAGACACCATAAAATCCGGTTCGGACACCAACGTGTTCATTGGAACCGCAATTGTTACTGCTTATTCCAAATGTGGTGTTGTTTTGGATGCACGCAAGCTGTTCGATGTTATGCCTGAAAGAAATGTTGTGACTTGGAATGCAATGATCTGTGGGTACTTCAGAAATGGCGACACTGAATCTGCTGCACTTGCGTTTGCGGCAATGCCGGGGAAATCGAGGGTGAGTTGGAGGCAGATGGTCGGTGGGTTTGCGAAGAATGGTGATACTGTAAGGGCTAGGAGATTGTTTGATAGGGTTCCGAATGAGTTTAAGGATGTGGTGATGTGGAGTGTAATGGTTGATGGGTATGCTAAGAAAGGAGAGATGGAGGATGCAAGAGAGGTGTTTGAGTTGATGCCTGAAAGGAATTGTTTTGCTTGGTCATCTATGGTTTGTGGGTATTGGAGGAAAGGTAGTAATGTGGAGGCTGAGGATGTTTTTCGAAGGATTCCCCTTCCGGTTCGAAATTTGGAGATTTGGAATTCCATGATTGCTGGATATGTGCAGAATGGATTTGGTGAGAAAGCGTTGGAGGCTTTTGGCGAAATGAGAGTTGAAGGGTTTGAGGCGGATGAGTTCACTGTTGTTAGTGTTTTATCTGCTTGTGCTCAGCTTGGGGACTTGGATGCTGGCAAACAAATTCATCACATGATAGAATGCAAAGGAATAGGTGTGAACCAGTTTGTTTTGAGTGGATTGGTTGACATGTATGCGAAATGCGGGGACTTGGTTCATGCAAAGGTGGTATTTGATAGTTACAATGATAGGAATGTTGTCTGCTGGAATGCTATGATTTCGGGTTTTGCTGTCAATGGAAAATGCAAGGAGGTTATTGAGTATTTGCGCAAGATGGAGGAGTCAAATATAAGGCCTGATGCTGTCACATTTACCAGTGTACTCTCAGCTTGTGCTCATGGAGGTTTGGTTAGTGAAGCATTGGAAGTAATATCTAAAATGGAGGCATGTGGAATCGAAATAAACATCTGGCACTATGGGTGCATGGTAGACCTCTTGGGAAGAGCAGGGCGGTTAAAGGAGGCATATGAGCTAATAAAAAGAATGCCTTTGAAACCTAATAAAAATATTTTGGGGGCAATGGTTGGTGCTTGTTGGATTCATTCAGATATGAAAATGGCAGAACAAACTATTAAGATGATTGGTACAGACTCAACTACATGTGCTGATTCTCAAGATGTGCTTCTGTCGAATATTTATGCAGGTTTACAAAAATGGGAAAAGGCTGAAATGATAAGGGTGAACATGATTGATACAGGGTCTCGAAAGATACCAGGATGTAGTTCAATCATCCTTAGCAACTCAAATTTGAATTGATAGCGGTGTTTTTAGGCAGTACTTAATTTCACACAAATGAGCGTGTTGAACTAATTTTCTCGGCTTTTATAGGTTTGTTCATTTTGTGAGCACACCTGAAATACTGTAACATGTATATATTATAGAATCCGAAATTTTAACATGTATACATTATAAAATCCGAAATCTTACAAATTGAAGAGGTAATTGCAATTCAAGGAAATAATTCCTTTGGGATTAGCATTGTACTGTCTTGGTAGAAAATTATGAAGCCAATGAAAACTTGCCCAGGCTTCATAATTTTCCTGGCTCCGCCACTGCTAATGATTTATAATAGAATCCGTAAGAGAAAATATTTGTTGCTGAATTCCATATATTTATTACAGTACTTCAAGGAAAGTTGGTTACAAACCCTACCAATCATTGCATAGAAATATTGAGAAACTAGGAACTAAATTAAATAATAAAATCATTGCATAAATATAGGGAAATAGGAAAAATAGCAACTAACTAATATTAAAATAACTAATTTACCAATACTTAATTCCTGTTTTCCGCATGATCCCAGATGATAGATACGGTTGTGTTTCATAATTTAAGCTAATTTTATTTGTTTCAATTGATTAAATTTAAACATTTAGGGAAGTATAGTTAATTGATCAGAGTGACTGACAAATGGAAATCTTATCACCTTTAGGCGTTTTGTTTGGGAGTTTGGACGGGAAGGGAATAAAGGGTTTTTAAAAAAAAGAAAGAAGGATTGAGTTAAAAAAATAGAATCATTTAGGTGGGAGGATTTTAGAGGATTTAACTACCAAGTAGAAATTATACCTCAAAGCCTAACCACTTAGCATAAGTAGAAAGAAAATGAAGAATGCTTAACAACCATTAAGCAGAAGCCACAACTTAAAGCTTAACCACAAACATGTCCAACCTCATAATAAAGGCTTCACACCAATTCTAATAATATTCACACCCACCACGTTATAGAAGGGATCCAACCCCTGTACTCAATGCACATGAAAAAAAAGATGGATGATATAGGAAGTGGCTTGAAAATCCCAGCACATTGCTCTTTCAAATAAAGCATATGTGCAGCCCTTGCAGCTGGCTTGAGCCGAAATCAATAGTTGTGTAAGCTATGAAACTCAGATGCTACTTTGTGCAATCCAACAAACTGAAATCTGGGAAAATAACAACAAAGGTGTACTGGACCGCAGTGAGTATTAGAACTCAAGAATCAGAAAATGGAACAGAATGGGATGCCTCAACCACGAACCTCAACAATCACATCGATCTGGAATAACAAATCCGTTTTTGCATAGGGTAACTGTTCCAAAGAGGTAATGATTAGGCTTCTTGCTCAGTCCCCAATAGGGAGAGAAGAAGAAGTGCAATTGGTTAATGCTTCAGGACACTTTATGATAAAGATTCCGAGAGATTGATACATCTGATAAATAGCGAAAAAATGAAATCTCAAAGAGGAGCAAAAATCTTGAACATAAGATCGAAGAGCAAAAGGTTGTTAAAGTTTTCTCAAGGAAATGTTAAATAGAAAAAATGAAGGTAAGAAAAAAAAGGAATGCAGAATATTCAAGGTGGGTGCCATGGCTCTAATACCGTATTGCAAAACTAATAGAAGTCATGAAAGCGAGAACATACAAAGACTGGAAATATAAATTGTATTAGAATGAGCTAAGTGATTTCAAAGTGACTATATCAAGCTTTTATATAGGCCAACAAACTATCAATTACTAATCTCTAACTAATTTTGTCTCTATTAATAACCCTATGATTATTTTGAGACTAAGGTGTTGTTAGTTTTGAAGGGAAATTGATGTTGATCAAATAATGGATGACTTTTGTTGAACTAATTGAATGCTGTTAACTTTAGTCTTGTTTGTATCTGATCATCGTTGGTTTGGCTACAACCTAAAATTATTGAGATTATTTTTGGTTTTCTCCTCTACTTAGTACATTCCATTTTATGTGTATTTTATCATTTTCTGTAAGAAAAAAATGCATTGGTGATAATGGTGACATCTAGAGTCAACCACCAAATAGGTGGTTCGTTGGTGTATCAGTTTCATACATCATCAGATTTATATAAAGGTCAAGATAAGCCATAAAAAAATGAGAACATGTGTACCTTTCCACACAAAATCTGTTGCACCACCCCTCTCATCTCTTGCTTTTCGTTCAGCAAGTCATGGCACAAGTCACTCCCTGGACCATCATCGACGAGTTGATTCCGCATTCCTTTGTAACTACCACCATCCTCTGGTCCTGCCATGTTTCTCCGTCGATAACCCACTGTTCCCAATTCATCCACATCGCGAGCTCCATGGATCCGAGTTCAAAAGACTCACACGAGACTCCATAACTTTCTCATTTATAGTTATGTCAGAAGAGGAAGAAAACTCAATCAGGATTATCACTTGCACATCAATTGCTTTTTTAAAAATGGAAAAACATCAATTGCTTTTTGCTTATGATCGTAACATTCTGCACTAGTTCAATGAAGTTTTAATTTCTTGCCTCAGAAGTTAAAACATTCTGCACTAGTTCAATGAAGTTTAAATTTCTTGCCTCAGCAGTTAAACTTATTTAGTAGGTGTCATTTCGTCTTCTACTTTTTTGTTTTTACAAATTTTAGGTTCTAATTGAATTCGAAGATCTGAGATGAGATTCATACTATGTTTTTGTATATTTGTTTTGAGGAATTTTACTTTTTTGAAGAATTATTTATTTATGTGTTTCTTGTATTATTTATTCTGAGTTCTGCTTTGTCTAAGTCACGGGAATGCAAAAAACTGAAATAATGATGAACTTGGAGACACATTGGTGGGAGTGAAACTTTTACGAGAAAGAGAGAAAAGTAGACAAATGAGAAGAGACCAAAATCTAGAGTGATAATGAATAGCTGAATCATATAAGCTTAGTTAATCAAATGGTTAAAGTTAAGTGGTACATGGTGAGAGACTCATTTGAACCCTTACCCTAGAAGCCACCTGGTGATAATATGATCGATAGAAACTTATTTTTTAACATTCAGCTGTAACATTGAATTTGGAAGTCTGATTGTTCACAAGACACCATTTCCTCTCAAATTTTGATAAATGTTGTAATAGATCATTTCATCCAGATGTAAGAATTTAGTTAAGTATGTGCATAGGAGTTACAAATATATGATAGCCAAGGATAGGTGGCATATTTTAAATTTCCACGTGTCTACACATATTTCCTGAACCATCATTTTCATTTGTGTATATGCAGATATTCTTGATTTGTTCTTATTTGTCCATAATACTTGAATCCCCCTCCAACAATGCTTACTATGAATTTTGTATTGGGTTTATGATTAAATTTGTACTTTGGTCTCCATAAAAACTTGTCTCAATCTCTGTATATGATGGAGTGTTTTAAACATAATTATTGAAAATTTACATTACAGGGGACAGATATTCCTTTTGTAAGGGCCCGTGTCCCAATCTTTGTGTACCAGTGGCTGTATTAACTAAAGGATCTGGTAAAGGGGGAGGAATCCTAGAAAAACCAGTTATTGAGAAAGCCACCCCAGGCCGTGAATCTGAATTTGATTTAAAGTAAGCAGAAAGTTTTGATTGCTGAACTTAAGATTTTCTGAACTCAAAGAATATTTATTTCTCCGAATGTGATTAGGTGATTCTCATAACAATGAGTATAATAACCATTGATATTTGAAGATTCGTGTTATTGTGCAATGGGAAATTTGTGAGTTGGTTCCTTTTGTTAGTGGTAAGAATTTAAGGTATGCCATCACAGGTAGTCAAAGTCAGCCTAAAACATGTAATATACTTAACAGTTTCTTGTGGGAGAATAGAGATGGTAATAGATTTACACTAAAAACTTTTTGACCATTTTCACTTGTGTTTTCTTCAATTTTTTTGTTATTCATTCAGAAAATATGAATGCATGTTTATGTCTAGAAATTCATGATGAAATTGAACTTGGAGATCCAGTGTAGTGGTTTAGATGCTGTGTGCTCTGTCGTGCTGATTGCTTAACTTTTCTAGGATATTCAACTATTTATGTCTTTGTAAAGAAAATGAAAAAAATGCAAGTATTTGATTCTCGCATTTCTAAGATGTGCAGGAAGTCACGGAAAACAGCGCCGCCTTATCGGGTAATATTGCACAATGACAACTACAATAAAAGAGAGTATGTTGTCCAAGTGCTTATGAAGGTGATCCCTGGAATGACCCTTGATATTGCAGTTAACATCATGCAAGAAGCTCACCACAATGGAATGTCAGTGGTGATTATCTGTGCCCAAGCTGATGCTGAAGATCATTGCATGCAACTTAGAGGCAACGGGTTACTCAGTTCAATTGAACCTGCAGGTGGTGGTTGCTGATGACATCTTTCTGTTTAAACCTTCTCCTGGGCTTTAATGTTATTGAAAGGTGAGATAGGAAATATCGGGTGTACATAATTTCCCCTTTAGAGAAAACCAAAATAACATGCATAACTTGTGAAAAGCTTGATTATCTTATGAAGACAACGACCTATGATTATGAATAACATGTAAAACTTATGTAGCTTGTTAAATGTTCAGTATATATCCAACATCTTTCGAGTCAAGTTGTCAAGTTATCTATATTCTTTAGGCTCTACATGTTTTCATGGATCATAACGAAGAGGAATGACCCTAACGGAATAGAGTGAAATAAGGTGGAATGAAAAAGAAATTTCTATATTGTTTGAGTATTTTGTTAGTGACTGTTATTATTATATTATTATATTATTATATTATTATTAGGAGCTGGATAGTCTTGTTCTTATATTTTTTTTTAGTAGGGGTGTTTAAATTCAAACTGATTCAAATAAAAATTGTAAATTGATTTTTAAAATTAAAAAACTGAAAAAATTGAATTTTATTGGATGTATTTGGATGCCATTTTATAAAAACCGTTCGGTTCGAATTTGATTTTTCAAACTTGATTCAAACCAGTTTAATATATTTTAATACATATTCAATATTTTATTAATAAGATATATTGTATTAATTTATTATTAGATGATATTTATTTTTTTAAAGTTATTTAATCTATTTATTTTTATTTATTTTAATCTGATCATTTTTTATTTTGTAATATTAATTTTTTATATGTTATATATTATATTAAATCTATTACATATTAGTATTTTTTTTATATTTTTAATAAAAAATATAATTTATAATTTAGATATTCAAAAATCGATTTAAATTAAATAGTATGAAATTGAATCGGATGAGATAAAAAAATTTTAATCAATCATTTAAAATTGAATTGAACTGTGAATAAATTTATTTTTAGATCGAATGATTTTTTATTTCAAAATCGATCCAAATTAAATTTATAAAATTGTGCTATATTGTTTAGAATTTTTTTCTATTTTCTTTTATATATCATTTGATTTCTATCGACGAGTATCATAGCAAGTAAGATGCGAGTTAAATAAATATTGTCGACCGGAGGAGATATGAAGGCATGATTGGACTTATTAGAACATGGGCTTAAGTGATGATTAAAGATGAGAGATTTCTTATGCCATTGTATGTCATTGAAACAATTTTATAAAAACTCAATTTTGCCCGTGTTTTTTGAAAGTGTATTTCTGAGATGAACATTTATTTGTTAAACTTTAATTAATCTTGTAGATATATTTATAGGAAGAAATCAGAAATGTATTTCTGGAATTTATACAGATGGTAGTAGAAAATAATTTTCTCTACAAAATAAATATAATATCACGTACACACGCGCACACACACGTATGCGCAGACACACACACGCAATATTTATTTGTTAAACTTCAATTAATCCCGGAGATATATTTACAGAAAGAAATCAGAAATGTATTTTTGGAATTTATACAGATAGTAGCAGAAAATAATTTTTTACACACACACACACACAATAAAGTCGCTAACCAAAGACTAGTGCATATGGCGGAGTTTGAGTCGGTCCGTGACCCTCCCGACGTTCTTCTGTTGTCTCCTGTACTATAGAATCTCTCGAACCTCCATTATGATGACATCTAGAACATCTATAACCTCAAAGCCATCAGGAAACAATCATCCATCAATATTCGTCTGTCCAATTTGCACGATACGACGACACATAGACAACACATCATGAGCATGATCAGTCATAACCCGCTCCTCCTCTAGAATCTTCTGATGAGCTGACCTAGGTGGGTTTTCTAGAGTATCTTGTACCAGAATCATTAATTAGTAGGATCCAGACATGAAAAAACAAGAATCATTAGTTAGTAACATCAAAATAATTTACAAAATAACACACATGCAATATAAGACCAAGAAATGTTACCGTCAGGAGTGTGATGTTATCGGTCATCTATTTTGTCTTCCACTTACAGCCTTCAGAGAACTTATGGTACAAGTACACCAAACAAGCGGTCCCCTAGTTTCACTCATAGATCCGCTCAAAGTTGTTAAAGTATCGCAGGTACATGACATAATGTAAGTCACACAAGTGTCCATAAAATGGTAGTGTCAATCAGATACAACATGTATGCTTTCATAGCACACACTCTGTGCTGGGCTACCTTCTAGTTAGTTCCATGCTCTTTTATAGGGTCTTGCCCATCAAAGGCCCGACTTAGGGTGTTACCGGAAATATATTTCCGGTACCTGAGAATATTTATGTATTTTCGTGCGGTGCGCTAGAAAAGTATAGTGTGTGATACGAATGATGTTTCAAGGCCCAATAGGGAAAGAAAAAGATCCGTTTGGCTTAATGACTATGTAACTTAATGGGATATTCACCATCCAACATCTATTTCACAAGCCATTGGTTTGGCTAAACTCATTGAATCTAAACTACATGATGCCAAACAAAAATTCCAAAAACCTTACCAAAACACCTTTAATCGAACACCTACTTACATTAAGCCCACTACCCAAATTCAAACCCCCAACCCACCTGACCCCAAACTACCCTCATCATCCCAGCCTAGAAAAATTCCTATTCGATGTCTCTCTAGTTCCCAAATGCAAGAAAGGTGTGCTTAGGGCCTTTGTTATAATTGGGATGAGAAATCCATCCCCGATCACAAGTGTAGTTCCAACAGATTTCTATTATTACTTACTGAAGAGGACCCCCCCAGATTTCCCCAAGTGGAGGAACAACCTCAAGAAGAAGCTACTAACACAGACTCTGGTAATACATATTTTCAATTGTCCCCCAAGCCTTAACATGCCAATTTTCACCCCAAACCCTCAAATTCAAAGGCCTTATTGGTGGACTCCCTGTTATGGTCCTTATTGATTCAAGGAGCACTCATAACATCCTTTAACCTAGAATTGCCCAACATCTTCATCTTCCCACTACCCATATGCCCCACTTTTTAGTTATGGTAGGAAATGGGTCACATTTCCAATGTGAGGGAATTTGTCACAATGTCCAACTTACCCTCCAAAATAAACATTTTTCACTTCACTTCTACCTTTTACCTATTGAGGGCGGAGATGGGAGATGTAGTTTTGGGTATGGCATGGTTGCGTACCTTGGGCCCAATTAATGCTGATTTTTCAATTCCATCTATTACCTTCAACCACCAGGATGCCCAAATTACACTTAAAGGCGATCCGAAAACTTCACCATCCTTAACAACCTTTCACCAACTTTGCCACCTTATTTACACCAACTCCATCGCTTCATTTCACCTCATTACCTTTTTACCTTCTGACATAGGGGACCATTTAACATAGCCAATTCCATCATAACTAGTATCTTCCTCAACCATAAATAAACCTTCCCAAACCATTGACCCACTGAAACTTATTGCCAATAACAACCCTCCTCTTTACCCTAACATTGTTAAGCTAATTCAGAAATATCCAACTGTTTTCCATGGAACCCCATCCCTTCCCCCTTCAAGACCTTATGACCATCGAATTCTCTTGCTACCAAACACTACACCTATCAACGCTAAGCCTTATCGTTACCCCTATTCACAAAAGTAGGCCATGACAACCCTCATCCAGGAAATGTTAAGGGAAGGCATCATTATCCCAAGTAACAGTCCCTTCTCATCCCCAGTCCTACTTGTAAAGAAAAAAATGGCAGTTAGCATTTTTGCGTCGATTATCGCGCTCTAAATGCAGTCACTATTAAAGATCGCTTCCCCATCCCAAATATTGATGAACTTTTTGATCAGCTCGACAATGCAAAAATATTTACAAAGATAGATCTACGTTCAGGATACCATCAAATACGAGTTTTGTCGGAAGATACTCATAAAACAACATTTCGAACATTTGAAAGTCACTATGAATTCCTAGTTATGCCTTTTGTCCTTACAAATGCACCATCTACTTTTCAATCTGCTATGAACGAACTGTTAAGACCTTATCTTCAACGGTTTGTTTTAGTATTCTTTAACGATATACTGATTTACAGCTCCTCATTGAGCGACCGCTTGGTTCATTTAGATATCATTTTTAATTTTTTAAAGTCCAATTCTTTTCTAGGAAAAGTTTAGGCAATTTTGGATTGGCCTGTTCTGTGTTCTCTCACGACATTACAGGGTTTCCTCAGTCTCACCAGTTTTTATAGACGCTTTGTGCGCCACTCTCGCTGCTCCTCTCACCGATTTATTGCGTTCTACTAAATTTTCATGGAGTACAAAGGCTTTGGCCTTTACATAATTGAAAAATAAAATGACAGTTATGCCAGTGCTGGCTTTTCCAGACTTTACAAATACATTCGTCATTGAAACTGATGCTTAAGGCATTGCAATTGGTGCAATCCTATCTCAGAATAATCACCCCCTCGCCTTATTCAGCAAAAATATGTGCCCTCGTATACAGTCCGCTTATGTTTATGTCTGTGAGATGTATGTTGGAACATAATTAGTTAAAAAATGGCGTAAATACTTAATTGGTCAGAAGTTTCAAATTTTTATAGATTAAAGGAGCTTAAAGGATCTTCTAATGCAATGAATTCAGACACCAGAACAACAAAAATGGGCCTCAAAACTCCAAGGTTTCAATTTTGAAATATTTCACAAACCTGGTCGCTCGAACCTTGTTGCTGATGCTTTAAGCCGCAAGTTCTCCCATCAGGAACCTCTTCTCATGGCGATCTCCTCCGCAATTACAGATCTAGTGAACCATCTCCGTCATTACTACACCACATACTTGGAAGGACAAGTATTAGTTAACATAATGACTACTCATAATGAACAAGATAACTACATATTATCCAACGGACTTTTGTTCTTTAAGGACAAACTATACATACCTTTCCCACAGTTACGACTTGCCCTCATCGATGAGTTTCAAAGTACACCAACTTCAGGTCATATAGGAGTTAAACAAACAATTGCTAGACTTGTTGCTTCCTT